ATAATTAACGTATGAATATTTCAGCTTGTGTCTGCAGCTGTTGTTTTATTAAAAATTTAAAGGTGTAACTTTTACAGTGAATCTTTAGTATTTTAATTTATTCTATTGGCAGAAAATGAACATCTAATATGTGATGCTTATATGAGCCTGAAATGAAAATATTGTTTTCATGACCCTACATGTTTTATTGAATTACAGTCTTATATAACATAACCAACAGATGTCGCTCTATTCTTCATACTGTACGTAACATGCAGTCAACGCAGATAGTGCGTGTTGAAAGAAAATGTTTTGTTTTCTATGTTATTTCTGTTCTTTTTTTGACTGCAGTTCTGTTTGTGTTTTGAAGCCCCCGCAGGCTGCAGTGTCAGAGGTGGTTGAACTAGAAAGAATCAAAACTCCGGAACCAAAACAATGGATATCACTTGGCAGTGAGCTGGAAATCGAAGAAGAAACTGTTAAAGAGACGAGAGACAAGGTACTGCGTCAAATACAACAGAACAGACGGTACACGTGTGTATTTAACCTGAACAGTTTGTCTATAATGTGTGGATTTGTTCAACTTCAGCTGCGGTACAGGTTTTCCAGAGTGCGAAGGAAGTTCGGAGCACCGGTCTGTTTCTCTGACCGTAACACTGCTGATGCTAAGGATGGCCACCTGGAGTGTGCTGCCTATCCAGACAGCAGATTCAGCATCAAGCAGTTGCAGAGAGACTGTGGGATTCAGGCTGTTCCCACACTGCAGAGCAGCACTGCTCAGACACAGTGGTACGTCTGGAGGTCTGGGAGTTGTCTGCAAACAAGAAAATAATCAGTGATATCCAGACCAGCATTTTTTATTAATCATTCAATGCAAAGAGTGTGTCAAACATACGGCCTGTGGACCAAAATCAGCCCGCTAGGGGGTTTAATTCGGCCAGCTTGATTCGTCTTTTTTTTCTTTTGGCTTTGTCCCTTTAATTTTGAAAATAAAAATCAACCACACACTTAATTATATTTCATTAAAAATAATTATTTTGCAAAGAGTGTGTCAAACATACGGCCTGTGGACCAAAATCAGCCCGCTAGGGGGTTTAATTCGGCCAGCTTGATTCGTCTTTTTTTTCTTTTGGCTTTGTCCCTTTAATTTTGAAAATAAAAATCAACCACACACTTAATTATATTTCATTAAAAATAATTATTTTCCAATATACTTCTTTTCATGAAAACAAAGGGGGAAAACGTGGACTTATTGGTATTTATAGGTTATTATGTTATAATTGTACTGGTCCAGCTCACTTGACATTTCTTGTCAAACATCTCATGTCTATTTAAAGGAAATATCAGAAGAACATCTTCACCCAGTACAAGCCCAGAGATTTGAGCGACCAAGAAAGGGAAAGTATCGTCCAGAGTGAGAACCTGAAGAATTTCTGCAGCTCAGTAACTTCAAGGTTAGTCACAATACACAATGTAAACAGGTGTGGCGCTGTCCACCTGGTGCCAATCGTCAGTCTATCACAGGGCCACATATAGAGACCACAAAGAAACAAACAAAAACAAACACACACACACACACTGATACCTATGATACAAAAAACCCATGCCTGCACAGGAAGAAAATTCAAACTCCATACAGTAGTGATCATCAACTGGTTTCTCGCAGGCCAAATCTGGACCATCAAATTGTCTAATCTGGTCCGCAACTGGATTCCAAAATAAACATTTAAAACATTTTAAAACAAAAGTTATAATGTTAGACAAAAATTTGATTTTTTATTAGTTTTTTATTTGATTGTCTGGCCACCTGAGATGTCAGTCCAGAAAAACTCTGACCCTCCAACAAAAATAGTTTATATGGGATTCAAATTTTCCTGCCTAACCCTAGAGGGAGCACCACCAGTGGTACATGTACCGTAGTTTGAGAACCATAGGTACCCAGTAAAACATTCAAAATCAGATGGAGATTACCAAGTGTTAAACTTGCCTCTGACCCAACTTTCTAAAAGGTGTGTTGAAAGAATCCATTTCTGAATGAAACTGTTGAAGAAATAAAATCATTAAATTAAGTCATTATCTGAACAGTTCGGGCCATCTGCCGTTAAAATATGGTATTAAGAAAA